TCTGCAATACCTGTCATCCAGACTCCAAGACTTGGCCCACATGCATGGGGGAGAGATGGTACACCAACCCCCTAGGAGGTGGGTGGAGCTGTAGCAGGGATGGCCTGGAGGATATCAGAGCAGGCTTGCCTTAAGACCAAGGGCATTTGTGTCATCTGCACAAGCATGGACACAATGTCCCATGCCACTCACAGGGGTTCTGCAGTTGATGGTGCCTCAAGTGCTGCCCAGTGCCAAATCTTCAGGCTAGGCTGGGATGCTGTGCCTGAGTTGAAGATCAAGTTGCTGGAGACAGTGATGAGTTGCACAACAGAGATGTAGGGTGACAAGCCTGGGGGGTGGGGAGAGGTGCCGTATTAATTTGTATCTACAAAAACAATGAGGAGTCCTGTGGCATCTTAAAGATTAAAATATTTCTGTGGGCATAAGCTTTTGTGGGTAAAACCACTTAGTCAGATCATCTGACGAAGTGAGTTTTACCCACAAAAGCTTATACCCAAATATGTGTTAGTCTTCAAGATGCCACAAGACAGATATAGGATCCCTTCCTTCTCTGCTTCTCCTTGGCCTTTTGGAGCAGAAGAGCAGCCCTTGGTTGAAGCCTTCTCCTTCCATCCTGCAGACAGCAAGGGAGCATGGCACTGACTGGAGAAAGGCACTGGAGGCAAAGTGCACAAGGTCAAGGCCCGGTTGGGGACAGTGCAGACTCCAGAGAGAGCCCATAGCTCAATGGCCCTTTCTAAGTACGGAACTTGAATGACCTGCAAATGTGGCACTTGTCACCAGTGTGCCCCTTGCCAAGAAACAGCAGGCAGCTCTCATGTGGGTCAGGCACAGGGCACCTGCATGAAAGGCAAGGTTTGAAGCCTGGGGATCAGGGTACGCTCTGTCCCTAGGCCAGTGGTTCTCAAAGTGTGGCCCGTGACCATCCTGAAGGTGGGCCATGGGTTCAGTCCCCCCTCCCCATGAGATTGGAGCACCAATGACAGCTTCCTGCTGTGGAAGTGTGCAAGCCTTGTGGGCCAGATCTGGCTCACAAGTGGAGGAAGTGGCCCCTCTACTCACCTACACAGAAAGCCACTCCTCCGGAGGGTTTCTCCACTACTCCCACCGGCTGCAATCACAACCAATGGGAGCAGCGAAGGATGATGCCTAGAAGCTGCAGGAAGCATGGAGCCAACTAAGTGCTCCCATGCCCAGGACCGCATCCCCATCCTCCTCACACGAAGACACCCCCGCAACCCCTTCTGCACCTATTGTGTCATGTGAGTGGTTGACTGGTGGTCTGCAGAAAGGTTTGTATTGAGCGGGGTGGGCCGCAAGCCAATACCACCCTATGCAAATGTCCTGTTTAGGGACAACACAACTCTAAAGGAACTTATCAACAGGAAGAAAATTACCTAAAGAGCTGCTAAGTAGAGGTGATTCAGCTACCAGTTGAAACCAGAAATTCTGATGCCCATCACTGGTGGCAGGAAGGAGCTGAGAGCAGGGGGAGCATGCAGTGCCCCATATACTACACCCGGGTGGTATCACTCCAAGGGTCACCAGAGCCACTCCCCTACAGATGCTGCTAGGGGAAACAGATGCATGTGGCAAGCACGCACATCTAATGTGGACTGCACTGAGCACTCACAGAAGTACCCAACCATTTCAAATTGTACATTTACTTATTAAAAAAAAAAAAGTGTTTCATTGCTCAGCATTAACAGCCCTTCCTAAAAAGGGTTACTTTGTTATAAGAACTCATTCAGAAAAGTCCAAAGTCTCAGACTTTAAGGTCAGAAGGGACCATTATGATCATCTAGTCTGATCCCCTATACAATGCAGGCCACAGAATCTCATCCACCCTCTCCTACAATAGTCCTCTGACCTATATCTCAGATATTGAAGTCCTCAAATGGTTTAAGGACCCCAAGATGCAGAGAATCCTCCAGCAAGCGATCGGTGCCCCATGCTGCTGAGGAAGGCGAAAAACCTCCAGGGCCTCTGCCAATCTACCCCGGAGGAAAATTCCTTCCCAACCCCAAATATGGTGATCAGCTAAACCCTGAGCATGTGGGCAAGATTCACCAGCCAGACACCCAGAAAGTTCTCTATAGTAACTCCTATCATCCCACCATTGGCCTATTTACAACAGATAGTAAAAGGTCAATTAGTTGCCAAGATCATGTTATCCCATAAACTATCCCCTTGATAAACCCATCTAGCTTACTCTTGAAGCCAGTTAGGTCTTTTGACCCCACTACTTCCCTTGGAAGGCTGTTCCAGAACTTCACTCCTCTAATGGTTAGAACCCTTGGTCTAATTTTGAGTCTAAACTTCCTAATAGCCAGTTTATATGCATTTGTTCTTGTGTCCACATTGGTATTAAACTTAAATAATTCCTTTCCCTCCCTGGTATTTATCCCTCTAATATTTACGGAGAGCAATCATGTCCCCACTCAGCTTTCTTTTGATTAAGGTAAACAAGACAAGCTCCTTGAGCCTCCTTTCATAAGACAGGTTTTCCATTCTTCTGATCATCCTAGCAGCCCTTCTTTGTACCTGTTCCAGTTTGAATTCATCCTTCTTAAACATGGGAGACTAGAATTGCACACAGTATTCCAAATGAGGTCTCGCCAATGCCTTGTATAACGGCACTAACACCTCCTGTATCATATTACATCTCTCTTGGAATTGCTGCCACATTCTGTTTTAGACTCACATAAGAGGACTGATTGGCTGATAGGTGGTGAGATACATGTCAAAGGTAAGTTTATGTTGGGATGTACTAAAGTCAGTTTACATGACAAGAGGAAGAATCAGAAGAGAAAGGCAACAGTGGCGAGAAAGATCAGGAGATAGGATGAGAGGTCGAAGCACTTTCAGTGTGATGGAAAAAATAGAAGTAAATTTAAGTGAGAGGAAGTCCCATCAGATTTCTAATGTTTCCTTTTGGAAGAAGTCAGCAAGACCTACTTCAGAGTGGGAGAAAGGCATAGGAAGTGGAAGAGAAGAGGATTTAGGGAAGAAGTGAGTCAAAGCCATTCAAGTTTGAATGGACAGAAGCCTGATCAGGGGGATAGGGATCATAAGACTGTTGGTTACAAATAAGATAGGATGATGAGCAAGGTATGTGCCCTATTCTGCAAATGCAAAGATCATGAGGCAAGGCAGACTGAAGAGCTAAGGGCAGAATTTCATGAATTACTTCCTCCCCACTAAAACTAGACATTTGACATATTCCGGACAACGGGATTAAACACAGAAAATTCTCCTTCCCAGGACTCCAGAAAGGTATGATTTTGCTGGTATTAAGTTTTGTTGGACATATATTTCACTGGAAGTTTACCAAGTGAAAAGATGTATCTTTCTTTCATGGAAGAGGACACTACTCTTGAAGCTGGGATGGAGAAGCATCCACACAAATGGAGCTCAAAACCAAATCATTGAAGCTGTTACCTCTAAAGCAGAAAATACTGAAGAAATTTATGTACCCAGCTTTTAGAAGTCTGGAGTAGATAGCTGACTGGATATCCATGATCTGTTTGGCATAGGCAGAAGGTAGAGTGTTGCAGCAATTAGAGATTCCACAGCTCACAACAAGCTTCCTGGATACCTCCTCAATCTCATGATCCAAAAGATCATGAAGGGAAACGTATTTGCCTTAAAAGGGGAGAGCACATTTGCTTGGAATGAAAAAGCACTGCTTGAAAGACTCAGGCATCACATGAAGCTGTGTAACCAACTTCCTTGCCAAGCGAACACAATACATCCAATTCAATCTAAAGATATGATAAACATAGCTAATTTTTAAATAAACAATTCCTTAAACATCAGAATATGTCACCTAATCTTAGTTTGACAGGCTAGCCCCTGAATTCTTCACTCTACACATTCACACCTACTACCTGTTCAATTAAATGGTTGAATATTATTCAAAATCTTAATGTGAATACAAAATTCCTCATCTGTGTTCATGTTATTAGAATATTTAACCCCTACTAGATTCATAAGCACCCACATACATGAGAACAGGACGAAGAAACACATTTTCTAGTGTTGAACATAAATTCCATCAGCACGCCCTTTCAGTCCTCGGCATTTATTACGTGCAACAGGGTCTGAAACAGGGACAAAGAACCTATAGTCCACTGAACTCAGCTTAAGCCACACACCTCACAGAAGGGAGAGCTGGCACTCCAGCCCTGCAGCAAGTCTCCGAGCCTCAGGATCCTCTCATGTGGGTGGAATCTGAGCA